CCCCACAGTACCTGTGTACTCAGGGAAGCAAATGGTCAGGGGGCTGTGCACGATCTTCTCCTCAAAGAGGTCCTTCTTGTTGAGGAAGAGGATGATGGACGTGTCCGTGAACCACTTGTTGTTGCAGATGCTGTCAAACAGCTTCATGCTCTCGTGCATGCGGTTCTGGCAGGGGAGACAGCAGCCTGAGCTGGGCAGAGACCCCCAGGCAGGGCCCACCCCTCTGCTGTCCCACCTGCCACCCCCAACTGCTCCATCCCCCCCAGCTCACCATCTCCTCATCTTCAGCCAGAACCAGGTCGTAGGCGCTCAGGGCCACGCAGAAGATGATGGCCGTCACCCCCTCGAAGCAGTGGATCCACTTCTTCCGCTCCGAGCGCTGGCCGCCCACGTCGAACATCCTGGGCAAGGGGCAGCGAGGAGGTGGGCAGCAGCTCCCGGCCCCACCGCTCCCACCCAGCTCCCCGCCTCAGTTTCCCCAGCTGCCTGGAGCTGTGCCAGGAAAAGGCGCTGGGGGGCGGGCAGAATGCAGCCCCTCTGCCCTGGGGGTTCTGCTGGTGCTGCAGATCTGTCCCGCCACCCGCTGCCCATCTCAAGGGGTATCAGGGCTTATTTCCCAGCCGGAGCAAATCCCCACCACGATCATCAGGGGATGATCCCGGTGCGCCACGCCGCTCCCGCTGCGGGCAGCAGAGGATGCCCTGCCTCCACCAAGAACAGCCTGGCAGCCCCTGAGGTTTCCTCACTGCTCTGCTCCCCTTGACCATCCTCTCTGCCCCGCTGCCTCCTCCCAGGCAATGCAGGACCATGCACCGCTATCCCCCGGGGTGGCACAGGGGTCCCTGCCAGCCCCCCACGCTCGGGGACGACCCCAGCAGAACTTTCTGCCAGCAGCTGCATGGCTAAATCCCCCGGGATGCGCGTGATGCCGGCTTTGTGCCTTGGAAACCAGAGCCCTGACTATTTCCTGCGGGTTTTCAGTGGAAAGCAACCCCAGGGTGCTGGCGGGCAAGCAGTGCCGGTTCCTGACCCTGACACCGTCGGCTCCCGCCCAGCGCCCTTCCCGTGGCGGAAACTGCGTCACAGCACCGGAGACGCCTTCTCCCTTCCTGTCCTTGCCAGAGGCTGGATCCGCCCCCGGGCCAAGCCCTACGAGGCATTTTTGAGGCCTCTCCAGCTATTTTGGTGGTTTCCACTCTCTCCAAGGCAGCCATGAGCAACGGGGCAGGATCCAGCCCGGCATGAGGAGAAAGAGATTTTTTTTTTTTTTTTGCCTTAGAAAAGGCAAAAGGAAAAGGGTGGGCCGTACTTGAAGTGCAGGTCCTTGAAGGTGAAGTGGGTCTCCACGATGCCGGTGGTCTTCACGCGGGTGCGCAGCACATCCTGCTGGGTGGGGATGTAGTCGGCGCGGGCTATCCGCTCCAGGTCATTCAGGTAGCTGGGGAGGGAGCAGAAAGGAGCTGCAGAGCTGGACCATGGGCCATGACCCACCCAAATTCCCCGGGGCATCCGCATGATGCCCTGGGGTCCCCCGCTCACTCCCCTGCATCATCCGTTCGGGGTGGGCAGCAGCGAGGTGGGCAGCACAGCGGACCCCGTCTGTTCCCCATGG